GCTATAGGCATTCAGAATATCTAGCCTTGTAGTACTGTTAGAGAAAGATGAGCATGTGCCAATCAGTTCTGCCTTCTAGCTGTTGTCATACATGTCCCGTTGGTTACAACGCTTCACTCACATAAGTCCAATACATTTTAGATGGCCCTCACCTGTGATTTTACAATTGGAGTTTTTTATATAGTGCTTCGGCTGTGTAAGGTGCTTTGCAGAGTGCAGGAGGGCAGTTCCTGCCCTGTGATTTAACAAGGCCAGTGGAAGTGATGGTATTCCAGCTGAACTATTTAAAATTTTAAAAGATGATGCTGTTAAGGTGCTACACTCAATATGCCAGCAAATTTGGAAAACTCAGCAGTGGCCAGAAGATTGGAGAAGATCAGTCTACATCCCAATCCCAAAGAAGGGCAGTGCCAAAGAATGCTCCAACTACCGCACAATTGCACTCATTTCACACGCTAGCAAGGTTATGCTTAAAATTCTACAAGGAAGGCTCAAGCAGTATGTGGATCGAGAACTCCCAGAAGTGCAAGCTGGATTTAGAAGAGGCAGAGGAACCAGAGACCAAATTGCAAACATGCGCTGGATTATGGAGAAAGCTAGAGAGTTCCAGAAAGACGTCTACTTCTGCTTCATTGACTATGCAAAAGCCTTTGACTGTGTTGACCACAGCAAACTATGGCAAGTTCTTAAAGAAATGGGAGTGCCTGATCACCTCATCTGTCTCCTGAGAAATCTCTATGTGGGACAAGAAGCTACAGTTAGAACTGGATATGGAACAACTGATTGGTTCAAAATTGGGAAAGGAGTATGACAAGGTTGTATTTTGTCTCCCTGCTTATTTAATTTATATGTAGAATACATCATGTGAAAGGCTGGGCTGGATGAATCCCAAGCTGGAATTAAGATTGCCGGAAGAAATATCAACAACCTCAGATATGCAGATGACACAACCTTGATGGCAGCAAGTGAGGAGGAATTAAAGAACCTTTTAATGAGGGTAAAAGAGGAGAGCGCAAAATATGGTCTGAAGCTCAACATCAAAAAAACAAAGATCATGGCCACTGGTCCCATCACCTCCTGGCAAATAGAAGGGGAAGAAATGGAGGCAGTGAGAGATTTTACTTTCTTGGGCTCCATGATCACTGCAGATGGTGACAGCAGCCATGAAATTAAAAGACGCCTGCTTCTTGGGAGAAGGGCAATGACAGGCCTAGACAGCATCTTGAGAAGTAGAGACATCACCTTGCCAACAAAGGTCCGTATAGTTTAGTGTTTCCCAACCTTGTGCCTCCAGCTGTTTTTGGACTACAATTCCCATCATCCCTTGCCACTGGTCTTGCTAGTCAGGGATGATGGGAGTTGTAGTTCAAAAACAGCTGGAGGCACAAGGTTGGGAAACACTGGAAAGCCATGGTTTTCCCAGTAGTGATGTATGGAAGTGAGAGCTGGACCATAAAGAAGGCTGATCGCCGAAGAATAGATGCTTTTGAATTATGGTGCTGGAGGAGACTCTTGAGAGTCCCATGGACTGCAAGAAGATCAAACCTCTCCATTCTGAAGGAAATCAGCCCTGAGTGCTCACTGGAAGGACAGATCGTGAAGCTGAGGCTCCAGTACTTTGGCCACCTCATGAGAAGAGAAGACTCCCTGGAGAAGACACTGATGCTGGGGAAGATGGAGGGCACAAGGAGAAGGGGGCGACAGAGGACGAGATGGTTGGATAGTGTTTTCGAGGTTACCAGCATGAGTTTGACCAAACTGCGGGAGGTAGTAGAGGACAGAGGTGCCTGGCGTGCTCTGGTCCATGGGGTCACGAAGAGTCGGACACGACTAAACGACTAAACAACAACAACAACAACAATTTGACACAGGGGGGAGTGCTAAGGAATGGCAAGTTGGTGGAACAGGAGAAGCAAATGTCATTTGAAGGCATGTACAGGGAAATCAGAATGAGGAGAGGAGGATGTAAGGCTGTGGAGGACTTTCAGCATAAGAACAAGAAATTTGTGCTGGATTCAGCAGTGGGCAGGAAGCCAGTATAGAGATTTGAAAAGGGGCAGAACAGGCATCATGGCTAGTATCCATGAAAGAGGTGAATGGTTTTGTCTGTAAAGTGCTGGGGAGAACTGAGAAGCCTCCAATGAAAGATCATAAAAGCAAATATTGTAGAATTAAGTTCAAGAGCTGACTGTAATATCAACTGGAGTTTTCACCAAGGGAATAGAGAGGAAGGGCCAAATTTTTGCCATGCTGTAAACACAGAAGCATTGTGACTTCACAGCAAAATATAGGGGAGAAAGGAGACAGATAAAGTGTTTGTGCCTATACCGCAGGGTGACAGGAGACATTGTCGACTAATAAGTAGAAAGTACAATGAGAGAAGGGCTTGGGTGGAAAAACCAGAAATTCAGAGTTGGCTATGCTAAGACATTGAAGCATCCAAGGAGAAATATCAGGTGGGGATACAGAAGTGAATGAAGGGGTAAAAGTATCAGGTAGAGAGATGTGAAACTGGATATTGTCACAGAGACAGTGTGTGAAGATAGAATGGCCACGAACATATGGCTCTCCAGCGGAGAGAGGAAGCACTTCCTCTGTGGGAAATACTGAAGGAATAAGGTTGGAGTGGAATCAGCTTAGGATAAAGTCATGGCTAAGGAAATCAAGTGTATGGAAGGCAGCAGTGAATTGAAGATGGATGAGACAGAGGCATTCTGATGTGTAAGTGATTTTAATGAGGGTGATTTCAGTGACCTGCAGAGGGTGGAAGCCAGACCTAGAGACAGTCCAGATCCAAGTAGATTGAAGAAGAAGTTAATGCAACATGCTCTAGTAATTGAAGGATAGGCCAAACAACAGTTTATTGAGGAAAGGGGGGTGGGGACTGTTTTTGAATACTGCAGGAAACAATCAAGAAGGGGTTGATAATATGACAAAGAGGAAGAATAGCAGTGCTGCCGGGGGGTGGGGCGTGTATACAATTTGGAGTTGGTAGGAAAAGAATAAAAGGTGCATATGGAAGGGTTAGATGAGGACACTAGTCAATTCAAGGGAGATGGGGATGTTGCAGGAGGTGTAGGAATATGGAAACCTCAAAGATTCCTATCCTTAAATTAGAAAATATGTTGACTTCACCAAGGGCTTGTGAAAATTCTAGGACCAAAAAAACCCCAATCTGTCTCAGATGAAGTGTCAGTCAGTAAGTGAAAAAACATTCTGTAACTTTCAGATGTTTGGGTTCTTTTAGCATTCTTTTATTCTTGGTTACTCATTTACCTCAAAAGGTCTTTCCTTGTGTGATGTGCTAATCTTTGCTACTGAATAAAGTAAATAAAGTTTACATTCTGCAAGCATATAATCAATCACTTCCTCTACTGGAATTACCCCAAAGGCAGTTTCAAGTATGTACAGTATTGTTGCATCGGATCTCCCATGAGTGATTTGGCTGACTTTGTGCTGGAATATGAGAGGCAAAGTTCACGTCTTGGGGTTTTCCAATTACATGTAAAAATGTGTGGGCCTTATATTATTCTAGTGATTGTAATATTCTGGATTATATTTGTACTATTTTAAAAAAACTTTCTGCTCAGAGTGCTGGAAATTTAAAGTCTTCAGGAACAATCTATGTAAATTTGTATTACCTGCAAAGTTCAGGCTGTAGATGAAAAGCTAAGAAAGAGTTGCTTGCCTAGTGCTTCCAATTAACAACGGCTAAGGCCTTCTGGGTCATAGCTCATGTATTTCACTGTCCTGCCACATCAATCCACAAGATGGCCAACACTGCAAGACTTAGAGGTTGCAATCATACATATGGCCAAGAGTAGCAGTCCCTGCTATGACTGCATCTCCCTCAAGACTTCTTCAGCCAGGCACAGGGGTGCCAATTTGAATAAAATATTAGAGGGGCACACGTAAGCCCTGCCCCACATGATAGATCACCATGGTGTGGTGCACGCACACCATTTGAATGGCAATGCCCATAAACTTGGGTGGGTGGGGCTTCTCCCTCAAATATTTTATGGGGGGGGGCTGAAGACCCCTCCCATAGGAGTTGGCTCCTATGGCCAAGCATGTGTCTCTTGGCCCCCATCTTTGCAAACTGCCAACCTGCTTGCTTTCCCTGTAAAAAAGTGCTGCTTCCTCTTTCAGCTGGGGAAAAGGTGGAGAGGAAAAGGGATTGATCCTGAATTGTTTGGCGATTGAGTCATCATTTGACCACAGCTGAGACATTCTTGGCTCAATTTACACTCTCCTTATAAAACAGGTCATTTTTATTAAAAAAAAAATTACAGTTACAGACAATAAACTGTGATTCAGCAGTTGAATCCATTCCTGAAAGTCATAGTGGTATTTGCATGTTAGAAATGACTTTTGGAACTGTAAGACTCATTTGATTATTAAAAGATAGATTAAGACATATGGCTTTTGAATTAAGTTCTTTAGGCACAATCTATACATTACCCTGCATACCAAGATAGTGTATGAATCCTTGGTGCAACTGATCAGCCCCAGGAGGATGCTCAGGTGTCCGGTGTGTATGCCAGTTTGTGGTTCCATTTCCACCTTAGTCATGGGCAGCAATAGGAGAGCCTCAAAAAAAGTCTAGTTTGCTCATGGTTTTGATTGTGCAGGATCCTCCTGACTTACGGGATGAGGAGGAAGGACTTAAGTAGTGACATGCTCAGGCTACTTGATTACTTCCTCCTTTTATCCCATCCTTGACTCCCTAAATATGGGATGCCCTGTAGGGGGGTGATGGAAGTCTATTTCCCTCTGAGTATCTAGTAATTCCATGGGCTGGGTTTCAATTCTGCACTTGTTGCATTTGTGCTTTCTGGATTGTACTCACAGTTGTTGTTTTTAATTAATGAAATAATGAATCTTCAACAAAACTGCATTTATCGTATGGATTTGTTTTGACACTGTTAGATGATAAGGGAGCATTTCCCTTTGTGGCATGGTGTTTGCTAGCCATGACAGCAAGCTCTTTATTTTCTCAGGATCTCCAAACATGGGTGGATGGTGCTAATGAAAAAGGCTTTGTCCTTGTTTCATTTGGAGCAGGAGTCAAATACTTGTCAGAAGATATAGCACATAAATTGGCCCATGCTCTGGCAAGACTTCCTCAACGAGTTATTTGGAGGTATGTATCATAGCACAATAGCTTTGTCAATAGGTTTAAAACATTTATGGATATCCAGGACCAAGTCCAGGCTACATAAACATCATGCATTTAAAGCATTTTGAAAGCACATTTCTCATTCAAAGAATTCTGGGAATTGTAGTTTGTTTATGGTTATAGAATTTGTGGTTCTGTGAAGGGTAAATTGCACCTGCCTGCTTTTTTTTTGTGGGGTGGGGATGTGCTTTGAATGGATGGTGTTTATGCAGCCCAAGTCTTGTCTAGGAGAGTGCAACACAGGCAGCAAAAAATACAAAGGAGTGGCACTATTTATTCCAGGTGCATTCACCCACCTTTCTGTACTACCTGCCCACAGAACTTTTAAGTTGCAGTTCACAACAGGTGGGAAAGAAGTGTAGGCTAAGAAAATAACTCTTAAGGTCCAAATCAAGGGTGTGTGTGTCTAAAAATGTATTGCAAATATTGCATAGTTGTTTAATTTCAATTTTAACAGTCTTATTTATCATCAGTAAGTTACATTGCATGAGCTTTCTTGAATTGAAAACTGATCTGATGTATTTGGCTTTTAGCCTATTTGTGAAACTTTTAAAATCCATCACCAGTGTACCTCATTTGATGCACCTGGTTTTCTGCCCTTGTCCTAACCCAGGGGCAGAGAACTCCACCCTCCCATGGGCCATGTTAAACAAGTGGCCTGCCCCAGTCCTGCCAATCAGATGTTTGTGGTGCTTGCAGTGAGCCACTTTGAAACCCTGACAATGAGCTGATGCTTCAAAGCGCCATGCACAGCTATCTGCAAACCACCAGTCAGTGGATCTTCAGGGCTTCCAAAGAGCCACAAGGTCTTTGTGGGCACCATCAACCAGCTGATTGTCAGTGCCTGCAACTCCCAGCTTTTGGTCCAGCCACAACTTTAGCCACCACACACTTCATAATATGTATTTATTTCCTAAGATTTAAAAGGATAAAACAGTAAAATTATCACTAGAAAATTTACAAAATTACAGAAAGTTATAAACCACAATGGAAGAGAGTAAAACAAATTAAAACTCATACAAACTTTCTAAACATCTGCGTAGGTTTGTCTAAATAAGAATATCTTCAGTCACCAAAAAGAATACATGAAGGCACCTGCCTAATACCAGTAGGCAGGAAGTTCCAAAGTTTTGGTGCTTCCACAATAAATGATTGACTTCTTACAGATGCGGTGCAGGTATTATGTGGCAACTATAAAAAGCCTGTTCCTCCAACTGAAGCAGCTGATTGGGTACATATGGGGAAAGGGGACCTCATGGGTAAACTGGTGTCAAGTTGTTAAGGGCATTGTATACTAATGGTAACACCTTGAACTCAGCCCTTGAAGTACATCGGCAAGCAGTCCAGACCTCTGAGCACAGGTGTTTACATGCTGAGAAGGCTGCAACATATATGATGCCAGGTATAGGACAGGTGTGTTTCACTTGGCCAAAACAGCCTCTTGGGTAGCCCTGGCAGGTTTATTTTGGCCTGAGGTCTAGAAATTGCCTACTCTTGTCCTAACACATAAGCTATGTGTTTCTATTTTTAATGAATTGCATACTGGATTTTAAATCCTTTGATTTGCAAGTCACTTGCACAGTAGAAAAGGAGCTAGCAAATTGTTCTATTCCTTAGAATGCATTTTGAAACTGGTTTCTTTTCTCTGTGTTAGGTATTCAGGGAAGAAACCTAGGAACTTGGGTAACAATACAAAACTCATAGAATGGTTACCGCAGAATGACTTACTGGGTAAGTAGAATTGGAAGTGAAGTTTAGTTCTCTGCTCTTAAACACTAAAATCCCATTGTATCTTATTTGTATAATACATTGGATTTCTAGATTTGGTATTTATTATTAAAAACCCGGGTTCTGATAACTCAAATAGTGTTTCGGAAAGATATGTCCACTTTCTGTATTCACTTTTGGTTGTGAATATGGTTTTATTTGTTTATTATTTATTATGTCAGTATACCACCTTTTCCTCCAGGGAGATCAAGGTGGTATACGTGCTTCTCCGCCTCCCCAGTTTATCCTAACAATAACAGCCTTGTGAGGTAGTGACTGCCCCAGAGTCGCCCAGTGGGTTTCATGACTTGAGTGGGGATTTGAACCCTGGTCCCCCAGGTCTTAGTCCAACACACTAACCACTACACCACACTGGCTCTTTTCTTTGCACTGCCAAAGTTATACTAATGTTCTTAGTGGTACATCAGCTATATTATCGCTAATAATGTAGCATTTAAGGGAGATTGCCTCTCTTGGCAGTATATACACCTACTTAGCAACTGCTCTGACCATTGTTTGAAAAGTGAAGCCGTTGATGTTTTTATTACCCACACTTTGAAGCATGAAGACAGAATTTAGATCTCATGTGTAGTTCAAAAAGTGGCTTGGCAAGCAATAGCTTGTTTCTGTATTCTGCAGCCATGGCAACAACACTTCCACATGCACATGTCACCTGCAATGAACTTTTCCAAGAGAGATGGGGAATAAGTCCTCTTATTCCCATTCCAAGTTTATGCAAATGCCTATTTATTAAGTACATAGATACGGTATTTTATGATAAGTTAAAGCTAACATGAAACGTTTTCTTCCCTTGCCTCTTGCCACTTTAGGTCACTCTAAGATTAAGGCCTTTCTGAGTCATGGTGGTCTGAACAGCATTTTTGAAACCATGTACCACGGTGTACCTGTGGTGGGAATTCCTCTTTTCGGAGATCATTATGACACTATGACCCGAGTGCAGGCCAAAGGCATGGGAATATTACTAAACTGGAAGACTATTACTGAGGATGAATTATATAAAGCACTAGTGAAAGTTATTAATGATCCCAGGTAAGATTCCTTTGCTAAGCTTCCACTAACGTGGAAAAACAAGTCTATAAAGTAGTTATAGTAGCCATATGCAACTGCCCACTGAGTTTTAATGGTTGATATTTTATAGATATTTATGATTGTGTTGTATAATATCAGATGTATTTTATTTTATATTATATAGTTCCCTGGGCTCCTCTGAAGGAAGGGCAAAACAGAAATGTAACAATATAATAAATAGATTTCATAGATTCACCTCCAGAAAATTACATTCAGAGGTGATGAAGCAATTAATTGGGGGAATTGCATAGATGCAATATGCTGAATTAGTTCTGTTTTTCCACTTCACAGCTACAGACAAAGGGCCCAGAAGCTGTCTGAAATTCATAAAGACCAACCAGGTCATCCTGTTGATCGAACAGTCTACTGGATTAATTACATCCTTCGTCATAATGGAGCACAGCATCTACGTGCTGCTGTTTTCACAGTCTCTTTATATCAGTATTTCTTATTGGATATTGCCTTTATTGTACTGCTTGGTACTGCCTTACTCTGCTACGTTTTGGTCAGAATAGCAAAATTTATCCGCAAGCAAAGCAAACATCTTTGGTCCACTGATGAACATACTACCATTAATGGACATTACCAAAATGGGATACCAAATGGCAAGTATAGAAGAAATGGCCACATTAAACATGAAAAAAAGGTGAAATGAGCCAACTTCCCAATGTACATTAGCAGCGAATCAGTTCTATAACTGAATTTTATAGCTGTAACTTAGTCTAACACCTACTTAAAGCAAAACAATAAACAGTTCTAACGCTCCCCTACAGTATGTAATCTTATGCGATTAAATTCTGCAGAACTAAGGAAAATCTTTAGAAAAATGAAGCACAACCTAAAATGCAATATGTATTTTATTCTTAATACTGATGCAAAAAGGTTATTCTGGCACTGAAGTTTTTTTAGAAGCCTTAATTCTCTGAAGTAATTCAATAAGTATATTTATGACTTCTCCATTTGTGAATCTACATGTGTGCGTCCCAGATAAGGAAAGGTTCACTCTTACTTGGCAACTATTCTTCCTTTTTTTCATATATTCATTCACATTTTTCCAGAGAGAACTTTGTTTTGATTCCTTGAAGTTTCACTATGTTATCTGGCAATGATGTTAAAGTCATCTTTCCTGGTGTTTGGTATATAGCAGTGAACAAACTGCAGAATCATAATGCAGCCATATAAATCATATTCTTAAACGGCGCTGAAGAATATGATAACAAAACACTAATTTTGATATACTTCTTAACTCTTCCTTTCTCTTCCATTTCTTTAGAGAAAAGGAAATTGCACAAGAGTACCGTAAGCTGTAATTTTATATTTATGTATATTTTACCTTCCTTCTTCACTTTCCACATATCCATTAATTTATGCCATTGTAAGGGTGTTGTTTTATTTTGATAATTACAAGGGCTGTGTGGATAGATTAGATAGATTTAGAAAAACAAATGAAGCAGAGGGGAAAGAAAATCTGCCCCAGGCTCTTTGGAAAAGGTCTTGCCATGTCCCTTGAGCAATGCAGAATCAAACCACCTTTGGGATTTGTTACAAAGTTGAATGTCTTTGCTTTTATATTATTGCAATTAAGTTCCCCACTCGCACCCCAGAGCCACAGTGGTTCTGAGGTTCACTGTCAATAGTTCTGTCTGTGTTCCTTCTGCTGGTCTGGGCCACACAATCCATGTTACATAGTTGCCAACATCAATTCTCTGAATAAATTGGAGGCTATCCTTTTTGTCAGTTACTGCTGTCTTTGTAGAGGTTTGATATCATGCATGACATTGAACCTAGGAAACCTAGTTGGAATGTTTGTCTCTGCCCACGTCCATAGCTGCCCTTCTGCACAACACTTTCAATCACTGTAGCCGATACCAGACTTTTCTGGCTTTAAACAGAGAATGGGAACATAGGGCGTTGAGCAAATATCAGGACGGTCCTATTGAACCAGTGTTGGCAACTATGAGTTTATTAATTTCCATGTCATTCTGTTTACTTGGAATTTGCACTGCACATGTTGTGAGTGTCCGCTGTATTTATTTGCAGTTTGAAATCCCATGTCTTAACAGCGGGGGGGCGGGAAGTCTCTACTGAGTGTTGTTCACTAACATGGGAAGAGTTCTGAACAAAACAGAATGCTAAAAATCATCTTCATACACAGTGACATGGCATTCCATTATCATCCCATCAGGAGCCTCTATCTTGTAGCAATAAAGTAGCATTGCAAATGTGCTTCTAATATTCAGTACAGGACAGTTGTACTGCCTTTCCAAATACTTGAAGAAAAATGATGTTATCAATAAGTCTGTTAGCTTTATCTTTTTACAATCCTATCAATATGTGGCAACATAAAGGAACACAAAGAGGCAATGAGTGTTGGGAAAGTGACAGGACCTAGAGTGTATGAATGAGTTGGTTTTAATGTTTTTCTTATTGATGGTACACAAGCACTGACCGGATGATTAAGAATAATTTAATCTCCACTGTGATACAACTTAAGCAATAAACATGGATTTAATATAGAAACAAATGGTTGGAAGCACATCTTTATTCAAACACACTTGTCTGTTTATGTGTATACTTAACAGCTATTACCCTTTGTGTGCATGGCTAATATCTGTTAGGTTTTGGTATTCTTGCGTGCGTATGTTCTGTATAAACACTCAGTCACATGTTACATAACACAATTGAAAAGAACAAATACTCTAATTTCCTCATGCCTTTGGTCCACTGTCAGTTTAATAAAACGGGCTCACTTAAGTCTGCAACATTGCGTTCTAAATTACCTAGTACAGTGCAGTTTTTCATCATACGGAAATTCTTGGACGTTGCTCACTGTGTGAAAAATAAAGCAAGAAAAGAATCAGCATGTTACCAATATTGAAGTTATTTAGATTGATGAATAGCTAATTTCCACAAAATCTTCCAGGTATCTCTATCTTGTACCTAGTTTGTATGCTCCCTAACATACCTGACACTTTTTATTCTAGATATGTTTGTAGACCAGACCATTCGAGATATGTTTGTAGAAGTAAATCCCTACTCCCTACTGGGAGTAATGGAAGCTAGGGTTGATTAGTGTAACTATTTAGGAAGAGCTACTTCGACAAAAACTCCTTGTGTTTATTAGATGTGTCTGTGAGGAACACTGTTCATGTGAATTGGCTACCGTGAATATCCCCAAAAGGCACATCATGATCTGTGTGAGAAAATTCACCCAGCTTGTCACGTGCACAGCAGCAACTTGTGCTTTTGGCAACCAGTTGTCACAACTGATTTGCAACAAATGTTTTCACATAACCTCAAAGTGGTTGCTATTGAGTCCTGTTTGCCCCCAAAGTTTTGATGATCTTGTAGTCCTTAGTATTATACCTTCACAATAAATTGGTTGGGAGAGACTCTCATGAGACTGCTGTTCCCAAATGATTAATTTTCTTAGTACAGTGGTCCCTCGGGTTAAGAACTTAATTCGTTCTGGAGGTCCGTTCATAACCTGAAACTGTTCTTAACCTGAGGTACCACTTTAGCTAATGGGGCCTCCTGCTGCCGCCACACAATTTCTGTTCTCATCCTGAAGCAAAGTTCTTAAGCCGAGTTACAGATGGGTAGCCGTGTTGGTCTGCCATAGTCAAAACAAAAAAAATTCCTTCCAGTAGCACCCTAAAGACCAACTAAGTTAGTTCTTGGTATGAGCTTTCGTGTGCATGCACGTGTGTGTATCTGAAGAAGTGTGCATGCACACGAAAGCTCATACCAAGAACTAACTTAGTTGGTCTTTAAGGTGCTACTGGAAGGAATTTTTTTTCTTAAGCCGAGGTACTGTTTCTGGGTTAGCGGAGTCTGTAACCTGAAGCGTCTGTAACCAGAGGTACCACTGTATAGTTAGGAAAGTTAACTTGCCATGTAATTTTCCTGAGTTTGTTTATTATCTGTTATTTTATTTCATAAAATTATACACCACTTGATTGTTAAAAACCTCAGAGTGCTTTACAAAGGGAATAAAACAATGAAAGCTGGATGTTGGCATTTCACCCAGCTGTTTTTTTCTCCTCATTTCCCTTCAGGGAAAGATGATCCTTCAGAAACCTCAATGGGAGCAGTTCAGGAACAGCAAAATTCCAATTTGAGCCCATTTGTCCCTTTCTATGAATCTTTTATAAATCAAGATTGCAGCTGTCAGCAATTGTTTGGGGATAGGTGGTTAAAATTAGCATTGCCTCATTTGAATAGTGAAGAATGGAGTTAATTTTTCTGCTGTTCAGTGAATTAAAACCCGTGTTACCTGAGTACTCGGAGAGTGCTTAAAATAACTGAATAAACAGAAATTATGACATGCATTTAACTAAGCTGCTTTTGTATTGGCTCCAGAAGAACACGCAACATTTTAAAACACGCACGCACAAACAAATAGTTTAAAACACACAATTCCACATTGACATTGCTGTTTAGCTCAAATGTATCAAATTGTGTCTTTCAAGTTAAAGTTCATTTAGAACTGCGTGTTCTGAGAACGAAGGAATGTGTTCAAAGCAAGTGATTAATTATGTACTTAATGTGAATTTTCATGCCTTGTTTTAAAAGTCAGATTAATGTAGGAATGGGATGAAACAGAATTCTGAGGCCCGTGAAAGCAAAACAAAGCAAAAATAGACTGATCTTTCTATCCCCACCCTGAAGAATAGATTTTTTTGGTCAACTTCATGACAAAAGGCTAAACTTTATATGAATGTCAATTGGTAGTGTAGTGTGTGGGCGGGGAGTGTATTTATACATTTACACATGCACATTAGTACTTTTTGGTAATGCTACTCACTGGTACAGAGTTCCATCACTTGGGGGGGGTGTGCTTGTGGCGCTTATATGAA